TCAGCTTTATATCAAGGAGGATTTCTCTCCCAGTAATACTAATATAGTATATAGTCAGCATAATTCAAATAATTTTGACATACATATTACTCAGTGGTAGAAATGAAGCTTTTGAAAGGCCACTTAATACCTTGTATTGACGGTAACAAAACTTGAAAAAAGGTGTTCTTTAGAGGAAGGCAGAAATATCAGTGTCTGATGATCTTTCCCAGTTTCTCTTTCTCTTTTCTGATTTGTTACCTCCCAAATCTAACACATTTGTATCAATTTTATTTAACTTCATGACCTTTCTTTTTCTTTTTTTTTTTGCTATGAAAACTTTTGACACATCAAAATTGTATTTATTTATGAGGTTGTCTCACATTTATTCAACTCCCTAATATCACCATGTACCATTTAATCTCTAAAGACCTTGAAAGTACACTAAAACTTTCATTGCTCTAAATTGCCTTCCCAAATAATTTCTCCTTGGTTAAGTCAGATCATTGTTAATTTTTAAAAAGGGTGTATCCTATCAACTAAGAAACACATTGTGTGACATTACTTGAAACTTATTTTCAAAAGAGAGAATAGCTTTTATTCTTTGAAGAGTAAGGTATTCTTGTGAAAGGATCTGTATCCACACAGCTAAGAATATTCACAATTTTTATTTTATACTCCCAAATTGCAGATTATTCCTCACCTCTCCTGCAGCTAATGATTGCATCTTCTGAAGCTAACATAGGAGAAAGAGACTGAAAAATCTGAGTGCTAAAATTGTTTTTGGAGACTTAATAAAAAAAAAACTTTGATGACACAAAACAAGATCAAAGAATGAAAATTTTCTTTGTATTTCTTTAATTTTCCTTACCTTAAAGGTAAATGTGACTTTTTAGAAAAAATGCTTTCTTTATTTTTTCTCTAATAACAGAACCATTTCATGCATTTTTTTTTTTGACGGAGGGAGTGTATCTACAAATACAAAACAATTTAGTAAGGCTTCTGTGTTTTCAAAATAAAGTCCAAAATTAGTGACAGTTTTATTATTTCACAATTTTTAGTCAAGCAGTGATTCGATTCACGTTTTTAACTGTACTGGTCATATCCTTTTCTCCCTCAGACCATGGCTGACATGGAGTAAATTTTCCTCTTTTAGTTTTGAAACCTTTTTCAATTTGAGTTCAGTCGAAGGTCACTGCTCCCAGTGAGCCTCTCATTTCCTTTCATGTTGTGCGGTAGTCTGTCTTTTCTTAGTGGTTTTGATGTGGTTCATCTTTGAGAGCCACAGGAATTCCTCCCAGAGTACGTTTATCTACTAGGAAATAAAGAACCTGCTGTTGCTCATTTGCCTTGTTTTTGTATGGATTATAAAAGAAGGAAACCTTTAATGAGCTAAATCACAGGCGTGTGGCTCTATGTGTGTTAAAGTCACATGAAGCTTTGATGACTGTGGAAGTCAGTTTTGATGTGTATGAAGGGGAAAGTAGAGCCCCGGGTGCACCCACTTCCTCACACAGTCCCTCTGAGGTTCATCATATAAGTATCCAGACATTTTTGTTTTCTTTTTCCAATGAGCTATATTGTAATATAATCTAACAAAATATCTGACACTTAAAACCAATTGAAGGTTACCTTTGGAAGAGGGAGTCTGATTCTTTTCTTAGCTGAAGATAACCTAGTTTTATTATTGTTTTTATTGTGAGAAAGAATCAAGTGAACTTAGAGATAATTTCTTGTCTTATTCTATAAAATCTAAACTAAATCTCCAAGTTGTTTGGTTTTGGGATGTGGGGGGTGCTTTCTTGTGTGTGTGCATATACGTGTGTGTGTGTGTGTGTGTGTGTGTGTGTTGTATTTGTAAATACAAAGTAACCAAAAAATGTAAAATTTAATTTGAACCATAAGTTGTTTTCAAACCAGTTAATTGTTTATGGGAAAGATTGATTGAGTCAACCAAATCAGTTGTTTAGGAATCAAATCTTTTATTTATTTTCTTCTTACATAATTCAGCTTTTAATTCTGTGCCTTTTTCCTCTACACAATCCTGGATAAGGTTTGGAAAGCCCTTGCTAGGTTGCTCATAGTGGAACAGATGCCACTCTGGGGGGCTGGGTGTATAGCAGGGATGTGTATTGCAGGGAGAATCTACTGTAGTTCCCTTTGGCCGAAATGCTCTAGAGGAGGATATCAGTCAACTGTGCCTGGCTGAAAGCAATTTTCCAAGAGACCCTGATTTGGAATCCATGGCTGAAGAAAGAGAAAAAAAAGGACTTTCTACCATATCTGAGGTTTTCAAAACCCTTGAGCTGGAAAGGGGGAAATCTCAAACACCAGTCTTCCTGAATGTTCTTCACAGAAGGAAGATACATCTTTCCTTGGTATTTCATATTATAGAAGTGGATGTTATTATGCTTACTCTTTAATAAAAAGGAAGCCATTAACATGTAAGATTTTAGCCTCTTAGATAATCTACATAAACTCCTTAATTGACCAGGTTCGGTAACATATGCAGATAATCTCAGTTACCTGGGAGGCTGAAGCAGGAGGATTGCAAGTTTGAGGCCAGCCTTGGCAATACAGTAAGACCCTACCTCAATAAATAAATAAAAATAAAACAAAAATGGCTGTGGATGTAACTCAAAGGTAGAGTACCCTGGATTCAATCTCCAGAACTACAAAAACAAAACTAAACAAATCCCCTAAATTGTGTGGTTAGCTCACTATTAATGCCAGATACGGGGATCTTTTAACCTGATGATGTCGGAAGTAAATTGAGTCAAGCAAGAGAACATGTAGACGAGGCTTTTACTGGAACCTCTGTTTAGGAAGGGAGACACAGTTCTGATAAGACCTCAGGCTGACTCCCTGAGACAAAGGAGGGAGCTCGTTTTATTGGTCACTTTTAGGAGTAGAAATGTTAATTTGTTTTAGGTGTACTGAACTCAAGCATTTCCCCCTGTGTTAAAGATAACTTACTGCAGCTGTTCATGAAGATGCATACAGAGCAGCCTCCTGACCTCAATGAAGCAGAACTGGTGTGGGTTGAGGGTGGTACACCTGAAGCTTTCTGGGTTCTGCTGTCAGGCTGTGGGCCAAGGCCCATAAGCGCAATTGCCCCTCATTCCTATGGTGGTCCTGTCTCACTATACATGGAGTGAACTCAGGCTGTTAGAAAACCAATCTGGACAATTCAAAGACCCCCTGAATCCACTCTTGCCTCTGACTTCTACTGTGCTTTTTTGGATAAGAATCCCATCTGTTTATGTGTGTGTATATCCTGCTTGTGGGGGCAGGTTTATTCTGTTGTCAACAAAAAATTGTTGTAAGATATACAAGTGCAAAGAGACCGTTGAGTTTTTTGAAGTGGGTAAAACTTAAATCTTTCCTAAAGTTTGGAGCAAATGTGTTGTGCTGTATGTTTTAATGTTTATTTAGAGAAAAATTATATTTCGTTTCTGTGGACATAAAGGGTAAGTTAGGAAGATCACTCAGTATGAGTAGAAATCAGAGAAAGTGATAGGTTACTCCAAGTGGCAAGCCAGACTGGCAATTCAGACCCTGTCTTGAATTTATTGATGGCTTTTATGACTAAGAAGCAGAAACCTCACTATTACTGTCAGTCCTATGTCTGTCAACCATAATGTGCCATCCCAACTTAAAGTTTGAAACAAAATTTCCGTCCTGTTTGTAGTTGTGTGAAATCAGATGATACTAAAGGAAGTCATGGAATTACTTTGTTTTGAGCTGTAATTTTAATCTTTTTTAAAATTCAAGATTCAGGGGGCTGGAGCTCAGTGGTAGCTACGCACTTGCCTAGCATGTGTGAGGCACTGGGTTCGATTCTCAGTACCATATACCAAAAAAAAAAAAAAAAAAAGGTCTATCAACAACTAAAAAATAAAAATTAAAATTAAAAAAAATTCAAGGGGCTGGGATTGTGGCTCAGTGGTATAGCGCTCGTCTAGCACATGCAAGGCCCTGGGTTCGATCCTCAGCACCACATAAAAAAATAAACAAATAAAATAAAGGTATTGTGTCCAACTACAACTAAAAAATACTTAAAAAAAATCAAGATTCAGTTCTTCTGTCTCACTAGCCTCATGATAAATGTTTAGTGGCTCCATGTATCTTGTGGATACACTATTTGGTAGTAGAAATTTTAAAAAAATGTCTTTATATGCCCTTGTTTTTATTTTTTATAGACTCTTGTTCAATTAGGAAGGCGGAAGGACAAAATGAGATAGAAGCTGTTTCTCATTTTAAACTGTGAAATCTAAACTTAATTTGAAGGTTAGCCTGATTGATCCAAGACCATAAGTAAAGTTGTACCATCTTGACCCATCATGAATAATATCATCATCATAAAATCTTTGAAGAGGTGAATTATTTTACTCTAAGGACTGTTCATTTTCGTGTTGGAATTTTGTGATAGTCACTAGCATAGCACAAATTCAGACCCTTAGCTGATGCTCCACTGATATCTAGCAACATTCACCACAGCAAGAGAAATTGCATAGCTTCTCCAGGTCTTTGGGCATCATCTTGTTTCCCAGTCTCTGAATAGCTCAGGTCATTCCGTCATTCAACAAGCATACATACGCTGTGCTGTATGCCTTGTGCTGAGCTAAACATTGAGTCTGCAGACATAAATAAGGCACAGCTTCTGCCTTCCAAAACCTCAAGAGTCTGGCATAGGAAATAGACCTGTAAAGAGAAAAATCATTATATGGTTAGGTGAATGTAGTAATAGGCATGGCATTTCAGATAGAGAGTCACGATGTACAAGTAAAAATTTTTGATACGAAATGATTTATTTTTTCAGTTTTTACATGCAAGTTCTTTTGTCACTGCCACATGTTGGGAAAAAAAAAAGGACCCGGCAGGGCAAGCTGCTTTGACACGACTTATTCTATAGCGCAAGCCTTTAGGTTCTGATTGCCAGGGGAGCGCAGCTATGTGCACAGAGCTCTTCTGCAGGTGGAGCGAACGCGCCCAGTTACCGCTTTCTTCCTTCTCCGCAGCTCTCTGCGCCATCGTCGCCACCATCTGGTTCCCTGTGTGCGCCCACCGTGAGACCACCATCGTGAGCTTTGGCTACTCCCTGTACGCGGGCTGGATTGGTGCGGTGCTGTGCTTGGTGGGTGGCAGCGTCATCGTCTGCTGCGCTGGAGATGCCCAGGCATTTGGTGAAAACCGTTTCTACTACTCTTCGGGCTCCAGCTCCCCGACTCATGCCAAGAGTGCACATGTATAAGAGAGCCGTGGCCACGGCCCCGTGGAGGTGCTGTAGATGCCGGGCCCATGGCCCTAGGTTCACTTCTCTGCCAGGCACCAAAGCCAAAGGTCTAGAAAACATCCTGCCTGGCGTTTTGTAGTCTTAACACCCCCCCCCACCTCTGCCCCCCATCACGTTTTGGTTGCCTTAAAAGAAATCTCTGGCTCAGATTATGCCCACATAGTTTCCATGGTGTTGCCCACTATTATCTCTTTTCTCGGGCATCCCTTTGTTGTTTAATAAAAAGTAATAATTTTGTTTCTCTCTAAATTTCAAGTGTCTTGCAAACATGGCTGAGTTGGGTGCGGGTAGGGGAGCGAAATAAAAAAGACACTTTTCAAACTGTTACAGATGACAATGGGAGTCTCATAAAGATGCCTCTCTTGTTTGCTCCCTCCTCTTCAATTCCAAGGTCATTTACTTCTAAGAGATAGAAAAAGATAGAATCGGGAATGCGGGGTGGGGAGGGAGGGGAATTGTGGAACTTTTTCTCCATGGGGAAAGTTTTCCCTTTTATAAGTTGAGGGCAAGGGGTGGGGAATATTTTTTAGTTTGTGATTTTACATTTATCTGTACATACTTTTTTTCAAGATGGATCATTTTTATAACCATGGTTTTCCTGAAATTCTCAGTTCATCAGTATGAAGGAAATGAACCAAATAGACTTTAATCATGCAGTAAATAACAGTACAAGTGAGTATAACTTTTACTGACATTCCACAAAACATTTTTGATTTCCAGATTTGTGTGATATAGTTTTTAATCCTACATTTGCATATGCTTCAAATTAACCCATTTTTAAAAGCCCTTTTCCCTTTCTTTGTTTTTGTTCTATTATCCATCATGAAGCAATGTTTAATGTAAAATGTACTGTTGAATTTGGCTTTACGGGTGTTAATGCTGATGGTGTTATCAGCATCTGAGACCCCAGACTCTCCAAACACGGATGGTGCATTTGGTTCCTTAAGTGAAATCTGTGCAATAAAATAACAAACTGTCTGCAAAACTGGCCTTCAATCTCCTGATATATCCAGAGGTCTCATCTACTGATTTTAAAAAGTCTCATTCATAATAATCTACTGGTAATGTATAAGGGACCTGATCAGTGAGTCAGGAATAAGTTATTCTGCATTGCCCTGAGTGATTAAAAATTATGCTTTATTCACCAATATTATGGTGGTAAGGTATGATCATAAAAATGTAACCTTGATGTTCTCTAGGTTTTTGTAGTAGAGTGACTTTATGGCCTGTTTAAATCATAGGTAAATTGGCTGCAATCAGAAACCAAGTGCTAAGCATTAGGTGATTAAATTCCTTTATTTGCTTTGAACATTTAGTAAAGAATTGACTAATTATGAGGGAGAATTAAAAAAAGAAACCCATTTTACTGGATCAAAAATGTTATAATACCTAGGTGCATTTTGTTGAAACACATATAAGTAAATGTTTGGAAATTTTGGACAAAGACACATAGAGTTGATTTTATTTTGTTTTCTATTCCAGAAACTGTCAAATTATGGGCCTGTTCTAAGAAAATAGATTATTATCTGTTTTGGCAGACATTTTCCAAATAAAATACTAATGTCATTAGTAGAATGACATTAGATAGTAGAATAATTGGTAAACATTTCCTCTTTGGAAATATCCACTTGTGTCAGACATTTGCAGAAATTTATGTACATTGGGATATTGTAAACTGGGAGAAACTATTTCAAATTACCTGTGGAGAAAAGATAACATTCATGTTGACAAAAATATTTGCTTTGCTATAGGACAGTTTTTTGATAGGATATGACTCATTTGACTATATGGGAGGACCCTCCCTACCTCATTAAATCATGTCAGGGTACAGTGGATTGTGAACATGAATGGAGCAGAGGCATGTGGAGGGAGATGTAAGATGTTAGGTCCTCTTGCTCCCTCTCCTCACTGCCAGTTAGAAGCATCATAAATGTAGTAGTTATCTTAGGGACATGCTGGTTCCTCCCATATGAGGCTGCTGCTTGCTTTGCTGTAGGAGAGGTGAGCTACCTTAGTCCCACTTTCTCTTGAAGCATGAGGGGAGAGACCTCACATCTCTCCTAGCTAACATTGTCTGGACTAATTAAGGAATCCTATTTTGTAGGTCATAACCATAGTGTTAGGGTTTAAGATCAGTTTGAGGAAGGAGGGTAGATTTTCCTCTAGAACAGCACTGTCCAATGAGTCATATATGTACTTTAAAATTTTCTAGTAGCCACATTAAAAAAAGAAAGCTAAAAATAAAAGAAGAAAGGCTGGGGAAAGATATTGGTCCAAATTATATTGTTATATTGTGTGCATGTATGAATATCTAGCAATCAATTCTACCATTATGTACAATTATAATGCACCAATAAAACAATATGGAAAAACTAAAAATAAACAAATAAAATTAATTTTAACTTATTTTACTTGATGTAGTATATCAAAATATTGCCATTTCAATATATAATTAATTCTTTTTAAATTAAGTTTTTGGATTCCAATGTGTGTCTTACACTTAACCCATCAGAAGTTACATGATTTTGAGAGTTATCCCAGGCTTTCTGCCCCTCTCTCTTTAGCCTATTCTTCTAAGACAACATGCAGGGGACCTTTGGATTGAAACTGAGCCGGTCCTGTTCATGCTTTCCAAGAGTTTGATAGAAACCAAATAAGAAAAGAAAAAAAAGAATGTTTCCAGGGAATCTCCGAATCTAGGAATGTTAGTTACAATGACAACAACAAAAAAGAGAAGATTGTATGCTTAAAGAATACAAGATACATATTTGTGCTGAATTGGTGGTTTGGTGTAACAATAGAACAAGGTTTGGTTGTATCTTGTCCTTTTTTTTTAAACAATTTTAATCTACACGTCAGTGTTTCTCTATACAATGTACACAATGTGAACTGCAGCATCTTAAATGTTTGGCAGGACATTCATGCTCATGACATCACATGCTGGGAGGACAGGGAGGCCACTGTGGGCCTGGCCCCCAGGAGAAGCAGCATCAGTGCTACCATTGAGATGGCCCCACAAAAGAGTGTGTGACAGCCAGATGTGCTGCTTAATGGAGACTGAACCAGGATTGTGAGTGGAACATTGGCACATGCTGCTGATGGCTTGAATAGCAGCTCTTGAGGAATCTATATTTCTCTACCTCACGCAGAAATCTCAGAGCTCGGGCTTTGTGGCCCTGTGGTGGCCGGGGGGAGGGAGCGGAGATGGGGGAACTTGTCACTGATCCATGCCCCATTGTTGAAATGGAAAAATGTGGAAACGTTGAGCCATTCCTCGAGGATTGGGTCAGGCAAGATTGCTTCATTCTTAACTTCCAGGTTACTTTCCAAATAGCAAAGAGCACCTGATGGTCACAGTTGGAGGCTTTCTTTAATTTAAGATAGTTATGTCTCTATTTCTCTTATATTGACTTATATACTGCTGTGATTTTCAAACTGGAACGTGCATACCGATCACTCGAGGATCTTGTTAAAAATACTCAGCAGGTGTGGAGAGGGCCTGAGATTCTGCATTTCTTAGCAAGCCCTCTGAGGATGGTGCTGTTCCTGGTCCTAGTCTCACACCTTGAATAACTAGCCTCTGTGGCCTTCCTCCTGCTGAAACACATACTGTCCTCAGGCATCTGCGTATCAATGGGGGCCTCTTCTGTGGAAGGTCCTGGGAATGTTTTTTTTCTTTTTAAAATAATTCTGGTGCTCCGCTGGCCAGTTAACTCTAGTGCAAAATCCTTCATTTGACTTTAAGGTTTTGTTCCTCATTAAAATATAATCATCCAGTGAAATGCTGGGATTAACTGTTACTGACTAGTCATTGAGTACTGGTTCATGAAAGCTGATTATTACAGTTTTAGGAATTTTATGAGCCAGTGGATGACACATAGGTAGCCTGATAATAGTCTTGGTGGGATACTTTTACCATGGAAATCACCCAACCTTACAAATCAGGTACTTCTCCTCCGTTGTCTCCCACTTTCCAGCTAGTCTCCCACTGCTCTGCTCTTGGGGAGCCATACATGAAGCGACACCAACATTCAATGCCTTCATTGTGAAGGACTGTATTCTTCCTTTTCCTGGGAATTTCTCATAAGAAAAGATGGGAGTATATGGGGTAACTGAGGAAAAGAGACACACTAGCTGCAGACTCTTGTAACCATGTGTGCCCTGATTCCTTTGCCCTGAGTCTGAGGGACCTGGTGACTTGGGCAGAGGAGGGTGACTTCTCTACCTTTTAGCTCTGATGCTCAAGGTTTGGAGAGCAGGCAGCAAAACTCGCCTAAGTATTAAATACCTTGGTACCAGCTTGGTGATTGAGGTTGTTCCAGTGCCCTTTGAGCTCGTATACTGTACTTATTGGTCCCACCAATCTGGCTTTTGAAAATTTCCTGGCAGATTTAGTTTTTTTTAACAAATATTTTTTAGTGTTGCCAGACCTTTATTTTATTCATTTATTTATATGTGGTGCTGAGAATTGAACCCAGTGCTTCACACATGTGAGGCAAGCACTCTACCACTGAACCACAACCCTAGCCCCCAGATTTAGTTTTTAAAAGTCACATTTTTTCCTGATTGTAAAAGTAATAATAATCTAACAGCTAACATTTATTGAGAACTTATTCCTTAGTAGGCACAACCCTAGTACTTTACAAATGGGAACACATTTAATTTTCATAACAACTCTTTTATAAGAGTTCGGGTTATTAAAACTGTATTCCTATTTTATAGATAATGAAATTAAGACACAGGTTAGCTTGCCTACATCACACAGCTATTGTATAATGTCTATTCTTATAAAGAATTCAAACACTGTGGAAAAATACAAATAAGAAAATAAAAATATCACCTATTACCTTTGCATTGGATTCCTTTCTTTTGTATGTGTTCTTGGTCATTATCTTACTTTAATATAAAAACTCCAACATATTCTACATGTAATTCTATAACCTGATTTTAAAAAAACAGTATATGGGAAAACATTTTCTCATACCATTGTTTTTTTTATAAGGTTTTTAATATCTGCATAATTTTCAGTTGTTTGGTTGTACCATAATTTATTCAATGAATACCCAAGAAATCTTACCTATTTGGGTTTCTTTCTAATTTTTTTCTGAATAATTTTGCCATGAACATCTTTACAGGTAAATCTTCGTGTATGCCAATGATGATCTCTTTAGGAGAATTTCCTGGGAAGGAGTTGCTGGATCATATATTCTAGGTGGTGTCCTAAAAATAGCTTATTTTTTTGTGTGTGGTGTTGGGGGGGGTGCCAGCTTCCCCTAATGCGTATAATAGGATACAGTAAATAAATTTAATATGCTGTTCTTTTAAAATTATTTGAAATATTTAATTTTTTTCAGTTGGTGTGAAATGATATAAGGGAATATTTGTAATAAATGGTTGATACCCCAAAATTTGAAGGTATTCATGA